GAAGTATTAATAATAGTGATCAGCGCCTTCAAGACAGCAGGGCCCTCCTGTTGCCTTCTGGCCATGGTGTGATGTCCCAGGGCCTGTGGTGCATAAGCAGGTGGAATCTAAGCACTGACCCTGGTCATTCTAAATATAAGGGGAAGAGAGAGGACTAGGAAATCTGGACAGATGCCATTCCCCTCTTTATGGCAAAGCCTTGCTCTTCGGAATCCTTATCTGCATTTAAAATGTGTGGTCTTCAATCATTGTGTCTTGGGATGCTTGGTATGTTTAATTCTATCACAAAAGGCCTCTGGCTTACTTATTAATGAATGTTGAAATTAAGTTGGTCTTTTAAAAAAGATACAGGAGCAAGAAAAAAATTAACTTAGTCTTCGTAAAACAAATATTTGATGAATATTTGTAATCTCTCCCTGAGTGGTTCTAGCCACAGGGGTGTTAACCTGCAGAGCTTCCTAGAAAGAGCACCATGCAAACGGCCATAAATCATTGGCCCTGAAGAAAGAAGATTCTCTCTTCTTCTGCCTCCTGGAATGATGGGAAATAATTATAGAATTGGGATGAAAGAGGAATTATATTATTCTTGTGTTGGCATATGTGCTTTTTATTATGTTTTGATAGGCCTTTATTGTCTGATACTGGAGGAGCAAGGGGAACCAGACATTACTGTCAGCATGTACATTTCATGCTAGGGTTTACCAGAAAGAAATTTAGGATCGACAGTTATCTGAGGCCTGCTGTGTCAGACCTTGGGGCTTTTATGTGAGCTATCAAATTCAGACCTCACCAGTGTGTTCTGAGGAAGCGTCTCTGCCTGTACTTCACTGTCAGGACCCGCCTGAGGGAGAGTAAACAGCCTCACAGGTGTAGTCCCACAGCTCATGTCTGAGGCCAGTGTAGCAGCCTGCTCTGCAGGGTTGCCTCTTACCATGCGACTGACTTTCCACCCGGAAAAAATAACTTCTGTGTTAGTGGACAGTAATGTACATGGTCTCTCAGAACACACAGGGAGTCCTTTCTAAAAATCCTATCTTCACAGCATTAGGATGATTATAACTAACACATACTGAGTTAGTATATATCAGGATTAGCCTAAGCACTTTGATTTTATTTATTTATTTATTTATTTATTTTATTTATTTATTTTGAGACAGAGTCTTGCTCTGTCACCCAGGCCAGAGTACAGTGGCGATCTTGGCTCACTGCAACCTCTGCCTCCTGGGTTCAAGTGATTCTCCTGCTTCAGCCTTGTGAGTAGCAGGGACTACAGGCACGCACCATCACGCCTGGCTAATTTTTGTGTTTTTAGTAGAGATGGGGTTTCACCATGCTGGCCAGGCTGGTCTCGAAATCCTGAGCTTGTGATCCGCCTGCCTCAGCCTCCCAAAGTGTTAGAATTACAGGCCTGAGCCACCACGCCCGGCCAGTACTTTTCTTTTATTAACCCATTTAAACCTCACAATATCTCTGAGGTTGGTTCCATCATTTCACTGATTGTACAGATGAGAAAACGGAGGCATGAAAAGGCTAAACTACTCGCTGGTGTCTCATAGTCTACAGAGTCAATTCTGGTCTCAGAAATTGCATTTACTGAAAGCCTACCAAGTACCCAGATCTTTAGGGGCTATAGAAGAAGTTAAACTAGAATCTATTTGCTTGTGTATTTAATGAATTTTTTTGTTGAAAAGAGTAAAATGACATGAAATTGGAAATGACTGTGATAAATGATTTCCATAATATAAAAAATTGGTACCAAGTCTTTCTCATCCCTTTCATGCCATGGTTTCATTCTTGCAGATCTCTTTCTATTACCTTTTTTATTTCCTTAAGAAGAAGAAAGGGTAGGGAAACCTTTAAAGTGAGGAAAATGTCAGCTTTTTAATAATGTGCCTACTTGCTACCTCTGTCTTTGATGTCTCCCTGTGGCTCTTGGTCACAATTCAGAGTGAGATGATTGGAGAACGTCTTCAGAAGGCATTAGCTATGATCATCTTGCATCATTATCATTACTCAGCCCCTCTGACCTTGGGCCTGTGTGTTCATCTTAGGGCACAGGCCTCAAAAGGACAGGGTACATCAGTGTTTCTAGATGACCTGATTGACAGTTGATGCTTGTCTGCCTTGGGCTAAAGCTCTTAGGATTCCTTATATCTCCCCTTCCCACCTTATACTTGTTTCACCCAGGAGAGAGCCTCTGTCATGCCTATCGTCTCCTTCCCTCCTGAGGGCTCAATATCTGGTTAACTTACATGACATAGGAATTAGTTACCATCTGTTTTGGCTATTTCCATACACATTCTGAGAACAAAATAAAAGAGCTCTTCTCCGTGCCCCTCTCATAATTTCTTCCCATGCCCCTTTTTGGGGAAGGCAGGCCAGTCAAAGCAGTGATGGCTTTGATCAGAGCAACGAGCAGATCATGATTTATTATTGCCAGAGTAGACAGTGGGCTACATTAGAGGACTGCTTAGACACATGCTTATTCTAGAAAAGGCTGAAGGAAGAAAGAACCACCCCTTTCCCTTCTCTTCTTATCTCCCTTCTGCTGGGAGCACCAGGCTGCCAGTTCCCAACTTCCTCTCCACAGGGAATTGCAGCTGTAAGGTGGCCTCCTGGAGCTGCCTAACTCCGCCTTCACTGAAAATAAGGTGACTGAATTTTAAAGGTGAAATCCTCTGCAGTCATGTCTCCACCACAGCCTTCAAGGTCACTCCCACTTTTTTCTAGACACAAATGGGGTCATTTTTGTATTTCTAATTAACACCGTCTCCAGACATAAATAAAATTTTAAATTTCTCAATACTATCAGCTGTTTCCACTATGTTTTTCATAGATTGGAATGCAGTTTTAAACAGTTAAAAAAATGCTCCAGTACAAGAGCAAAACAAGAAGTTAAAGGACAAAATAGAAACAGAAGATTTTGATGTACTTGAAAATTGATACGTATGTTGTCTGTTCTATTTAGATTACAAACTTAGAGTACTGCATTTGCTTCAGTAAATTTCTTTGTGGCTGAGTGCTGCTGCTTACATTGTAATTGGGTCTGGGTACAAATATACATTGAACTTATTTTCCAAAAATACTCTCCTTAGAGTGTGGCATGGCAGGAAAGCATACTGTTCCTAATAGTCCTTTCCAAACTCCTTTAAAAACTGACCTTTATGGCAAGTTTGTAATGAAGATGTAACACTTTCACTTCTTAAACCATGACTTCAATTTGTGATATAATTAAGGGCAATTACTCCTGTTAGAGATTGTAGACTGGGTTAGGCTGAGTTAATAAATAGCTGTTTGGCTCTAGCATTAGCAAGGATGTCTTCATTAGGGTAGTAATGTGTCAAGAGTGCTAAATAGGTTGCCATGGTATTTGTGGGTTTCAGCCTGGACTCTGGCTTTCCTGAAATTAAAAATGTTCAGCCTTTAATAAAAGGCACTTCCTTACACAGCAAAGCAGACAGAACACTAAATAAGTGAAATGACCAGGGCTCAGGAACTTGATTGCAGAGGCTGATGAATACACATGTGGATATTTTAAAGTAAGCATTGACTCTGGCAGGCTTTGTTAAAAAAAAAAAAAAAGAAAAAAGAAAAGGAAAAAAGAAAATGTTTAAGATCTGTATCTCTTCATTTTTCCATTCATTCATCCATCCAGAGGGACTATTCTCCAGCACATGGAAAAGCTGCTGCTCTGCTTCAGAAAACCTTGCCCACACTCAGGACCAGCTAACTCACAGGGATTAGGTCTTACTCATCTTTCAAATCCACAGAGCCTAGCACACAGCAGATGTTCAAGAAATGTTTGCTAAATGAATACATAAATTCTGCTTACCCCTAGGCCAAATTGGCCAAAGAGTCAGACATTTTGGCTTATGATTTTGTTAGTGGTCGACTTCCAGTAGTATCTGAAGACAGTGGATTGTCCTCAGATGCTGTGACGAAGCCCTGGAAATGGAGAATCCGTTGGCCTGTCTGTCTAGGAACAAGGCATTGTGGTTGGATTCACTTATGTAGTGGTTCTCAAAGTGTCCGCTGGACCAGCAGGATTCAAATACTGAATCTACTAAAGATCCTGGATGACTTATGGGAAGTTATGTTATTTCCAGAATTTTACAGTTAAACTATAGTTTTTAAAAAGATGACAGCATACTATAGTTCTCAAATACGTTTTTATTGTGAAAATGTTGTTTTCAAGACCCTGGGGGAAAACACCTACAACATAAGACCCTGTTTGTTTATCTTTGTGCCTGTTATGCTTAACATTTCGTGGAAATCTTAGTTAGCAGAGAAGTGCAAAATAGTCCTGGATCAGATAGGGGAAGGAGCCAAAAGCTGCCACTCCAAACTGTCCAGCCCACCTGTGCTGTTTGTCTGTGATTTTGATGAACCTGATGGATGATTCTGAACACAGTATTTTTTTTTTTCTCTTTATATGAGTTCTCAACGATCCATAGTCCTAAATGTCTCCTTAGCAATTGAGGAATGGGGCTTTGAAAAACTCTTGGGAAGACAGATAAAAGTTAAAATTCAAAGCATTCCTGGCCAAACCTCAGTTATTTGCAAAATTTGGCTAAAGAGGACATATTATTTCTTAGGTGTCTTGTTAACATTAACTTCATTTGCTAGGAAATAGTAGAATATTAGTTTATGCTATCAGATTATAGATATTATCATTATGAAAAATTTGAAAATTCTGTTTTTTATTAGTAAATAAAAACATGAGCAAATAAAAACATTCTGATGTTTCTAGAATCTAGATCCTAATTAAAGGAGTCTCATTCCAGTCTTTATATGTGCTTAAGTTTATGTTTTTCTTTTATAAAAACATACATTTAGACATTAAACTTTACCCTAATGTAGCAACTGGCTGATTATTAATTCAGAATATTTGAAAAACATTTACCAAGTTGGCCTAATCTGCTCCAGTAGTTTGCATCATAATTAATTTCTTGTCATTAATAGAAGTTCAGATGGCTCATTGATTCTGCTCCTTCTTCTAGGTTTATTTCAATCTACAGAGGACCCAGCCACACCTACAAGGTCCAAAGACTGACGGAATTCACATGCTACTCCTTCAGAATCCAGGCAGCAAGCGAGGCTGGGGAAGGGCCCTTCTCAGAAACCTATACCTTCAGCACAACCAAAAGTGTCCCCCCCACCATCAAAGGTGTGTAGACTGTGTATTCTTTCATGCTCTCTTGCGAGAGTAAGGAACTGTTGGGACTTATGGAAATGAGCTCTTTTCTGATGTTAAATATAATGTCAGCAAGATAGAATCAAAAGAACATTCTAAAGAAGATTGAGCAATGGGTTGTCTAGGGGAAATGAGAGACCTTGAAAGGAAAGGGCCTACAGATAATGACTTTTCTCTGTATGTATGCATGTTTATCAAAAATAATGGTTAGAAATAAGGGTTAATTCCTGGTGCTGCAGTCCTTAAGACAGTTTACCAAGGAAGGCATCATACTCCCTTTCCTAGACGTTCAGAGAAGCAGAGGTTGGCATTGATCTTTCAGTGACTTTGGTGCCTAGAGACTGACTTAGGCAACTTCAGCAGCCTTTCCCTTTTGGCGCACAGCTCTTGGTGTGGAGCGATGCCTTTGGAAAGCTGTAGCAGTGATCTGCTGTAATCTCCTTGGGTACTTATGTTGAAGTTTGTGGGTGACTACTTTCCTACTCTGGCCCCCTAATGGGATTGGGTACTGCAGAAGTCATGAGAGCCCCACATATCCAGATCTTCCCCCATGTCCTTGAGGCTAGTGAACAAAAGACACTCTGCCTGGACCCTACTTCCACTGGGTCTGCTGAGCCTTCAGCCTGTTTTCTAGCCACAGAGCTATGCCTGACTGCAGCTAACTTGCAAGGCAGGAAATAGCAACAGGAGCCATAGCATGCTCAGCCGGTCCACCCAGCCACTCTTGGACTCCTGAGGCCCTGCCTCATCTCCTGCGAATACTGTGGTTCTTGTGGAGGTCCCTGCAGCTTGTCTTTAAGGGGACAGACAGCACAAGTGGCTTTATCTAGCTGTTGCTCGAAATAATCCTAAGGCTGACAGCAGGGTAAAGTACAACTGCAGAAAAGATCCTTGCAAATGTGTTTGACTCTCTACTCCCACATGAGGAGGTGTGTCAGCTACAACCAGGGCACAAAGTCAATTATAGGAACTCTCCAGGACCTGGGTCAGGGTTTGGCTTGGATTCTACGAACCCAATAGCTCCTTCCAGGATTAGTTTAGGGTAAATACCTTGCTCCTGCTTCCCTGCCCTAAAGACTCTTTGGCAGATCCTTCTTTATGTGACTAAGAAACAAGTATGAATGTGCATACACATGCATGGCCTTGCCAGGTCACTTTGGCAGTAAACGCCCTGGCCCTTTGGTGCAGCTTTGCCTTTCAGTTATAACACAAAAGATGTCTGAGCACACTGTGGCTGCTTTGGTTTGTTAGTACCGAGGAAGGGTAGCTAGATTTATCAATTACCCCACTTCAGTGGTCTTTCTAGTATGAAGGAGTACTATCTTTGCCTCTCAAAGTGATTCTTGGTGGGGATACATTTTACAAAAAATACAATGGCACATTGATAGTGCTTGCATCTCCCAACCTTTCTACTTCAGAAGGGCAGTTTTCCCACTCTGACACATGATCAGGTTGTCTTCCTCTCACTCTTAGATTCAGGAAATTATTTTCTTAGATGGAGGACTGTTTAATCTGATAGGCTTCCTTATTTAGTTTTTTCATAAAATGCTTGGAATTTTGGCCAAGTATTTCCAGCATAGGCTCCTTTTTTTCTTCTTCTTTCTTCCTTCTTTCCTCCTCCTCCTCCTCCTCCTCCTCCTCCTCTTTCTGAAACAGTGTCACACAGAATTACAAGTAGAAACAACTCTCTCTAAAGAATTAGTTGCATGTAATTAGAGGTTAAAGTATAAGGGGGTTCAGACAGGAGATATACGTTCTAGTTACAAAATAGGAAAATGTCATATTGAATCACAGAGGTTACAAAAATATTTTTTAAATCTAGAATATTTTAAGTGCTTTACTACAGACTAATATAATTTAGTTTAAATGAGAATGAGGAGTTCAGTAGGTGAAAAATAAAATATATATAAATATAATTTAATTTTTAAAGGCTTTCAGTGCTACCCATTCTCCAGGACTGCTCTCACATGTCACCTGCTCCTCAGACTTTCCTTAGATCCCCAGGCAGATATGCTCTTTTCCTCCCCTGGAAATTCCCAGTGTTTTGTTTGTATCTCTCATTTTTATTCTTTGATGTTTCTTTTTGTATGCGTCTCATACCTTGCTCTCCCCTTCCTTCAACTAAATCTTAAGTTTCTTGAAAACAGGGTTTACCTTGCCTGTTTTTGCATCTCCCAGAATACCTAGTACAGGGCCTAAGCCATAGAGGATGCTCAATTGCCATAGGAGAAAAAAAAGATGTGATCCACATCAAGCTGTTATTCATGGGATAATGGGCAAAGGATTTTTTCATCAATGGCTTTTTAGTCATGGAGTAACTTCTCTGTGCCTAAAGGGCACCCTGATGGTTTTATGAGTGGCTGGGCAAATAAACTCCTCTCTCAGGGCAAACACAGGCACAATCTTGCTCTCTCGTGGATTCTCACAAATAGTGCTAAAGTGTTGACTATTAACATGATACTTTGAATTTTGAGCTTGGATGTGTGGATTTGTATTTCAGCACCTCGAGTAACACAGTTAGAAGGAAATTCATGTGAAATTTTATGGGAGACGGTACCACCAATGAAAGGTGACCCTGTTAACTACATTCTGCAGGTATTGGTTGGAAGAGAATCTGAGTACAAACAGGTAAGAACCAGTGTACATGGCACATGTGCGACTGAGTATGGCTGGCTCCATGCCTCTGCTCATTGCTATGAATGACTCAGTGAACTATGTTTTTCTTAAAATCAATGATAGAAACTGCCTAACTTGTACTTATTACATAATTCTTCAGAGTGTGTGAAGCCGAGTTTACATTTTGTATATGGTGGTATTCATCTTCAATTTTCAGTTCTCAAGCATATGCTCGTCTTAAAGAGTTGTAAAGTGTTTATTTGTATTTGACATTGATGGTAAGGTTTGCATGTATCAAAGTCTGTATGTAATTGAAAACTAAAGCACCTGTGATTTTACTATAGAGGGGAAGTAGTCTCTCTTTTTGTTTTCTAGTATTGATCTTTTTAAATTATTATTATACTGTAAGTTCTGGTATACATGTGTAAACATGCAGGTTTGTTACATAGGTATACTTGTGCTATGGTGGTTTGCTGTGCCCATCAACCTGTCATCTACATTAGATATTTCTCCTAATGCTATCCCTCACCTTGACCCCCACCCCCTGTCAGGCCCCAGTGTGAGATGTTCCCCTCCCTGTGCCCATATGTTCTCATTGTTCAACTCCCACTTATGAGTGAGAACATGCAATGTTTGGTTTTCTGTTCCTGTGTTAGTTTGCCAAGAATAATGGTTTCCAGCTTCATCCATGTCCCTGCAAAGGACATGAACTAATTCTTTTTTATGGCTGCATAATATTCCATGGTGTATATGTGCCCCATTTGCTTTATGCCTAACATTGATGGGCATTTGGGTTTGTTCCAAGTCTTTGCTATCGTGAATAGTGCTGCAATAAACATATGTGTGCATGTGTCTTTATAGTAGAATGATTTATAATCCTTTGGGTATATACCCAGCAATGGGATTGCTGGTCAAATGGTATTTCTGGTTCTAGATCCTTGAGGAATTACCACACTGTCTTCCACAATGGTTAAACTAATTTACACTCCCACCAACAGTGTAAAAGTGTTCCTATTTCTCCACATCCTCTCCAGCATCTCTGGTTTCCTGACTTTTTAATGACTGCCATTATAACTGGCATGAGATGGTATCTCATAATGGTTTTGATTTGCATTTCTCCAATGACAAGTAATGATGAGCTTTTTTTCATATGTTTGTTGGCCGCATAAATGTCTTCTTTTGAGAAGTGTCTGTTCATATCCTTTGCCCACTTTTTAATGGGGTTGTTTGTTTATTCCTTGTAAATTTGTGTAAGGTCCTTGTAGATGCTGCATATTAGCCCTTTGTCAGATGGATAGATTGCAAAAATTTTCTCCCATTCTGTAGGTTGCCTGTTCACTTCGATGATAGTTTCTCTTCCTGTGCAGAAGCTCTTTAGCTTACTTAGATCCCATTTGTTAATTTGGCTTTTGTTACCATTGCTTTTGGTGTTTTAGTCATGAAGTCTTTACCCATGCCTATGTTCTAAATGGTATTGCCTAAGTTTTCTTCTAGGGTTTTTATGGTTTTAGGTCTTATGTTTAAATCTTTAATCCATCTTGAGTTAAATTTGTGTAAGTGGTAAGGAAGGGGTCCAGTTTCAGTTTTCTGCATATAGCTAGCGAGTTTTCCCAACACCATTTATTAAATAGGGAATCCTTTCCCCATTTCTTGTTTTTGTCAGGTTTGTCAAAGATCAGAGGGTTGTAGATGTGTGGTGTTATTTCTGAGGCCTCTGTTCTGTTCCATTGGTTTATATATCTGTTTTGGTACCAGTACCATTCTGTTTTGGTTACTGTAGTCATGTAATATAGTTTGAAGTCAGGTAGCGTGATGCCTCCAGCTTTGTTCTTTTATGCTTAGGATTGTCTTGGCTATACATGCTCTTTTCTGATTCCACATGAAACTTAAAATATTTATTTCTAATTCTGTGAAGAAAGTCAGTGGTAACCTGATGGGAATAACATTGAATCTATAAATTACTTTGGACAGTATGACCATTTTCATATTGATTCTTCCTATCCATGAGCATGGAATGTTTTCCATTTGTTTGTGTCCTCTCTTATTTCCTTGAGCAGTGGTTTGTAGTGCTCCCTGAAGAGGTCCTTCACATCTCCTGTAAGTTGTATTCCTAAGCATTTTATTCTCTTTGTAGCAGTTGTGAATGGGAGTTTGCTCATGATTGGGCTGTTTGTCTATTATTGACATATAGGAATGGTTGTGATTTTTGCACACTGATTTGGTATCCTGAGACTTTGCTGAAGTTGCTTATCAGCTTACGGAGTTTTGGGGCTGAGACGATGGGGTTTTCTAAATATACAGTCATGTCATCTAGGGGAAGTAGTCTTAACCTAACTACTGAAGCCTACATTCTGTCTACCTTTTTTGTAGAAGTAATGGAAGGTTAAGGGAGATGATGCATAGGCCCTGGAGGCCTATGATTCAGAAGCTCTAAGTCATGCATGTCACCCTTTAATGTCAAAGGAATCACCTGGGAATCTGTTAAAATGCAGATTCTGACCTGGTAGGTCTTCGGTGGAGATTCACCCTCCCAGGTGACACTGACATTGCTGATCCGTGGACCGTAATTTGAGTAGCAAGGCTCTGTAGATCACATAATAAACCCATGTAAGAGAGAATGCAGTTGGAATATAGCCAGATAAGAAATTAGTTTTATCATGGTTCATAGCCCTTGTTGATTCTTAATTCTTCCAAGGAAGAATCAGGTCACTGACTCTGAAGGATTTAGATACTCTACAGGCTTTCGTAATAGTTCCTAGAATGTGTTTTTGTCAAATCAGAATATAAATATTATGTATTCCATTAGGAAAGCTGAGGTGCATTCTTCATCAGCACTTTTAGTAGGGGCATTCATTTATATCAAATATAAATGCCACCTGTTTTCTGAAACACTAGCATAACTTATAAAAAACTTTGTTCAGGTCCAAATACACAAGTAGAAAATCATTTGATTCAGAGTTTCCACTAAATTGCTCATTGGTGTTTGCTATATGATAAAGAATATTGGCAAATAAAATGTGTTTAAAAATAAAAGGTAATTTTGGACATTTTGCTGTACTTTGTTATGATGTATCCGAAAAAAGATTGAATTGTTTTAAACAAAAAACTTTATCCTAAATATGACATCTACCAGTGTCAATTAACATCAGTGGATGATGTCACCAAAGTTTCCATGATTCCTCTTAAATAAGAACAAAGACACTATAGTTCCTTTTTTTGAATCTCATTTTGTACAATATATTCCATTTCAGAGTAAATAACTTACACGTGTAATTGTTTCATTTTACCAGAAAGATATGATTGGTTTCAGGGTCTTAGCTCAAATAGACAGCAGAGAATTTATTCTGTTCCATAGCAATGTGAAAGTAGTTAAAATGAGGTATTAAGAAATTTTACAACATATCATTTGATGCTCAACGATAATTCATTTCCCAACAGTACATTGATTGCATATTTGTTATTGTATTGTAAAATTCTTTTATTCTACGTGCCGTGTTTTCCACGTGTTCTTGGAAGAATGTTCTGCTTCCCAAAGCACAGTGCATGCTGTTTTCTGTTGAAAAAAGCAGCATCGTTTGCTTGATATCTATACACATCAGGCATTGCCAAACTATAGGAGAATCTATTCAGTAATTTAGATTTTATTGGCAGATGGTCTGTTTTGAATCTGTTGTCTGTTTAATGTTACCTATTTAGACCCGTGGCCATATAAATGCTAATATACTCATGCATAATCACGTGTATGCCACAGAATATTTTTCTTATTGTAACCAGTTATAAACAAAATGTTTCTTGTTGTAAACAGGTGAAAGAAAAAACAGTACTGTACGGCAGGCTCAGTAGATGAGGGTTAGCATTCTCCACACGCCCATGTGCTTCCTGCATTTACCAAGAAATGATTAAGGAGAATAGTGGTACATGAAAAGCCACAGTTGAGTCAGGGACAATTTGTACTGGTTTCTTTTTTTTTCTTGGACTTCTCCCTATTCAGCAAACATTAACTTAAACATGATGTTTTAGTACTTCATTCATTGTTCTGGACATGAGCTAGGGAATGAAACATATTTATGTGTGCAGAACAATGGTTAAAATAATTATAGTTCAAGGATAACAGGCAATAGGCTTTGAATTCATAGAGGCAAAGCAAAAGAAAATGAGACGTAATTATTGCTGTACATCCACCACAGCGGAGCTACAGGCTCACTGTGTATACCTCAATTATAGCACTAATCAGACAGGACCCACTAATACATGGGCTTGTGTTATTCATTTTTATTTTTCCAGTACTGGCACATAGTTTGGCACTCAGTAAATGTTTCCTGCATGCGTGAAAGACGCAGTTTCAAAGCACCAGGGTTATTTATACCTACAGTGGTGACGAGAGTAAACTTCAGCATAGAAAGAAAAAAATCTCCCCTAATAGGATAATATCCTCTTCCCCCACGCTCTTTTTTGTTTTTGTTTTTGTTTTTGTTTTTTGGACACAGTCTCACTGTGTCGCCCAGGCTGGAGTGCAGTGGCGCCATCTCAGCTCACTGCAAGCTCCGCCTCCCGGGTTCAGGCCATTCTCCTGCCTCAGCCTCCCGAGTAGGTGGGACTACAGGCGCCCGCCACCATGCCCGGCTAATTTTTTGTATTTTTAGTAGAGACGGGATTTCACTGTGTTAGCCAGGATGGTCTCCATCTCCTAACCCCGTGATCCGCCCACCTCGGCCTCCCGATGTGCTGGGATTACAGGCGTGAGACACCGCGCCCGGTCCCGCCCCCAAGCTCATTTTTATAGGCAACATATGACAAGGGCCATGGCCTTTTCTGATAGTTTGCTGAAGCATCAACTCTAACTTTGCCTTTGTTCTAGGTGATTCCCTTTCTGTTGTTCAAGTGTCAGGATGTGGGGCAAGCGGCTGATTTTAATTATTAATCTATTAACTTGAAGTATTAAATTATTACTCACAGTTTTACTCTTCATTAGATTGCATGCATATTTGGTTTGCCTTTTGCCATTTAATAAA